CATTTCCAAAACACACATAATTTTTTGGGAATAATCTGTATAAACTATGATATAAACAAAAAATTGTAGGATTACTTACCGAGTGTGCACCGTTCAACCATGCCATTGCTTAAGCTTGTTTTCGTCACGGAGTAGCGCACCAAATGGCGGCCGTGTTTTCTGATAAGTTATTTTTCTGTGAAAAATTAGTTGAACTTTGGAGACATCATTAATAGAAATAATTTTCATGACCATTGAATAAGAAATGTTTTTTTCACAAGAAATGTATAAATTTACAGTACTGTATTAGACTTACAGTACCTAATTTAGGCCTATATACTGTACAAACGATAGTAAACTCAACTTACCCACCTAAACTCTCCGTAGCGTGTAAGTAGATCGGCTGCTTGTCCACTATTGGTCCAGATTCAACCAATCCTGTCGCGACATGAGTTGGTGATGACGTTTTATTGCATTTTACGAGTCTCTTAGTGTTTTTATATGAATACGGTCACAATTTTTTTGCCGCGATATACAAATCCGCATTATATGAACCCACGTTATAGGGGGGTCTACTGTATTTACTAACAATTCCTCCAACTTCCGTCGAACCTGAACACACTTTCTCAGCAGCTGCATATATGTGCAACAAATTGAGAAGCAGACTTGGTGATAAGACACTGGATGCATTGTTATTTCTCAGATCATATTTTTGCAATTCAAATTAGAATGTTCGTATTAGATTAGTTTTCTTTATATTTAAGAAAAATGTGACTGATTAATATTATTTTTAAATACTGTTTACTAAAAAACTTACTATACTACCTACTTACTAGGTTGTTACATAAAAGTCGTCTATTTGGTCAAATGTTAAGAGCGATTTTTGTTAATTTTCAACATTTATTTGCATAGTTTGTTACATAAAAGTTTTTTCAATTTATGTAAGTTTAAAGAGATCTCAGTGATGCTTGAAAAAGAATAACTTTAACATGAAGACTGAGTGATTTTAAGTCTAGTTAGTCTGACTCTAAGTATGATTAGTTAGATTGATTAGATTAGCTAAGTGTATACCGTAAAATACGTTGATTTTTGTCTAAATTTTGATTTGTTGATTAAAAAGCTAATTTTTGTAAGATTTTCTTTTTTTAATTTTTTTTATTAACCCTCAATACAGAAATAATCCTGGGATCAACTAAGTATAATCCTGAAATCCCAGGATTAGAAATAAGGTTCGGGATCAAATTCCCTATTTATAACTTAATCCAACCAATAGGAATTTACTGGTATGTTTTTATCGGGGCTGTGAAGTCGGAGTCGGAGTCGTGGAGTTTTGATGTTTTAGCCGGAGTCAGAGTCGAAGTCGTCAAAAAATCCGCCCACTCCGACTCCTTTTCACTTACCAACTTGTTATGTATATAAAACGGAAAAGTATTGGAATTGTGTAAAATTTGACCCTCCAAGTTTTTTTTTTTTTTTTTTTTTTTTGCAAATCTACACGTTTGGAGACCTCCCAAACCCCTCAAAAAAGTCAATAAAAGGGAAAAAATTCGCATGCGTGTGTGTGTTAACATTTAATTTGTTTAATTTCTTTATTTTCCGTTCTGAGATATTAAACAATATTTCAGAATGGGTAAAGTTTAAAAAACAAAATGTGGCACTGTAGCTTGTGTACAAAGGGCATTAATACTATTAAATTTTGGTCTTTAATTAAAGGTCAACAGGGTGAAGATATAAAAGTGGTCATGTGTCATATCTCTTAATTAACGAATATTTTACTCATTATTAGCGTTCAAAATTTAAAAAAATAAAATAAAACTTGTTACTTTCCTCAAAGTAAGCTTTTTTGTCATCTTATAACAGTACAGTAAAACCTGTTAAGATGTTCTCGCCTAAGATGTTACAATGTAAATAGGGATATGATTTAGTTCAACCACTTTGACGCTTAATAACTAACTCCTGTGTTAAACCATACGACTCCGATTCTGACCACTCTGACCACAGAAATTATTAGGCTTCAAACAGGGTGAACAAAATCATGCCCCCCAAACAGTCTAACATCCACACATATAGAAAAACCTTGAATCTTTTGCATATCTCAAAATTTCAAGGTATCCTGCGTCCAAAAAAATTTGGGAGGGGTCACTTTTTGACCAGCGCTACACTTTCCCTCTGTTATATATAACAGCCAGAAAGGTAAAAATTATCAAATACATATTTATACATTACTTAGAGGAGTCATTTAGCTTTGGAATGAAAAGTTTCTATGCTCTATCTTTATTAGAACTCTATTTATTGAATTTTTTATTCTGAAGTCATGTGATGACATCAGAATTTCCGGGTCTCTTTCGGCAACAAGTCCACTCCTGGTTGGAGTCAGAGTCTGAGTCGGATGGTAAGGAAAAGTCGGAGTCAGTAGATTTTTACACGACTCCACAGCCCTGGTTTTTTATGATGGTTCTGTATTGTTGACAAGAGTTTAAAATCCATTAAAATATTTGATATATTTATTCTGCTCTCCCATCTTGTATTATTTACAGATTTTAATGTTAAACTAGTGATATTACAATTTCGTATATCCCATCTTTAAGGGGATGTAGAAAAAAACGTTTACAATTCTTGTACAACGTTAAAAAATTAACTGTTACTTTGGCAGCATCATTTACAACTAAATTTAATGAATAAGACACACAAGGTACAAAAAAAAAAGCCTAGAATTTATATTTATATTCCTTAAATTTACAATTTATGTATCGTTGTTATAAAAATTTCTTTTTTCACTTCTTTCCAAAAGCTACAAATATTCAAGTACAAAGTAACCAGTTTCGACTTATTTCTACTTAAGTAGTAGTTAAATAATTAAGAGATTAGGGAATTAGGGACATAAATAAAACCCTGCTGAAAGAGCCAGAATTTTACTTAAGCAAAAGCTTAACCAAACCAATCTCTACCTGAGTACAGTGGAGACTGATTTCTTCATAATATTAGAAGTAATAAAAACAGAAATTTTTCAGGTTCAATGAGAGTGACTGAAAAGTTGTAAATTTTGGAAATTTCCATGGACACCTGATCCTAAAACGAATTAGTTAGAAAACAAATGACTATTAAGTTTAACATATTTAGATTTTTACAGCTATGGTGAGAAACATTTAAAATTTACAACAACCCTGTCGCATCTTTTGAGGTATACTAGTGGTTCAACAAAAGAGGCATTTGACATTGACCAATATAAAAATTTGTTTGACATTTTCATGATAATATTTATGAAGGCGAATGCATAGAAATGCAAAAACTGTTTTGTTGGCCTTGCCTACTATTTTCAAATAAAATTAGTGTGTGGAATAAAAATGGCTTTGATGATTTAAATAATTTGAGTAAAGCTGGCAAAAGACACGAAAATTGTAAACGTCATGTTGATTCTTTCGTAAAATTGAAGCAATTTGGAAATCAAAGCTGAATAGAATTTAACATTAGTAAACAATATAAAATAAACATTGAAAATTATAACAAGATAGTTACATCTAATAGATATATTATATCTAAAGCAGCGGTTCTTAACCTGGGGTGCGATAGAGCATTTCCAGGGGTGCGAGAGAAATTTTAAAAATTTTAAAAAAAATACAAATGAGGCGACTGTGTTCTCTATAAATTGTGGTACGCAGCAACATGGCATCCCTCACTTCTACACTCTCTATTCTACAATCTCTCAGTACATAGTGATTGTCATCAGTCGTCAGTACATGCAGTTAATGTAGTCACATTGTCATGTGCAATATAAAAACTAGTTGAGACGTGTTCACATTCCTTGAATACTTTTGCACATCAAAACAAAAGCCAGAAATTGCTTAAATGCATCTGATGATTTACACATGGCTCTTTCAAAAAAAAGAGCCTCGTTTTAATAGAATTATTATGAATAAACAGCAACAACCTAGCCATTAAAATTTAAATATTGCTTTTTATGTTATATAGTAATATATATTGTAAATAAACACGGCATTTATTTATGCAATAAATGTTTTTTCTTAAATAAAAAATATACATACATTTTTTAAGGGGGTGCAAGAGTTATTTTCAGATTCAAGGGGTGCTGACCACTAAAAAGGTTAAGAACTGCTGATCTAAAGTAATAGATGTTATATGTTTTTCTCAAAGCAAGAATTGGCCTTTAGAGGGCATAGGGAATCTATTGAATCTAATAACAGAGGTAATTATATTGAACTTGTTTATTTATTAAGTATGTCAGATAATCTATTAAAAATACATTTAAAGTGTATGGTTTTTACTGGTTTATCAAACAAATGAATACAAATGGACCCTGACGTGCAATTAACTGATTGCCCCTGTAAGCAGAAACACAGCTTCCCTATCATCAAATGTCACGGCATGCCACTGGAAAGCACTGTATATTCCTGCATTAAAAAGTAACTTTAAAATTATATTTTTTAAAACATATTTATATTATATCAAGATACTAGTAGATTTAACACACAATATTGCAATAATACCATGTTCCATCAAACAATAAAAACAACAATTAGCTTTTTGAGACCTATATTAAATGGTTTCTGAAAATATGTAACACATTCAAACTTCATTATTACAGAAATTATTAGAATATTTCAGGAAATAAATTATTATTATTTATTAAAAATTTTATAATTCTTATAAAAACGAAAACATTTTTTCATGGTGAACTCAGGATATATTCTTCCAATTAGAAAGTTCAGACTATGTACGAAAAATTTGTTTTTAATGTAATAGACGTCAGAACCTCAAATAAAAGGCTGACGTTTTGATCATTTTTAATATTGTGTGTTTTTTACCTATTCATTATTTGTTTTTATGGAAGTTTTTCTTCAACAATGTTACGGGTACTTCTGTGGTTGTGTTAATGGATTGTTAGATAGACTCAAAAATTTTTTTAAATTTTTCGTACATAGTCTGAACTTTCTAAAAACATTTTTTATTTATATTTCTACATAATAAAATCTTACAATTTTATTAGTTTAGAATGTACTTACAATGGAGTTGTTGACATAGCCACCATTAAATATCGATTTAAAGTGGTATCATTATCCAATTTAATATTATCAAATGATTTCTCTGAAATGAATGAAGATTAGATCATTTACCTATTCATTCTATATACACATTAATCTTTTTCAAGCATAATTATTTTTATAATTGATTAATAATAATATATTATATAACCCCTTATTTTACAGAATCATAAAATAAGTATTCAATAAGAGTATGATTCTTCATTGACAGAACACTAACAAGTATTAAGTAGTATAGTGCTTCGCGACTAAAATGTTTGTTACTCATTATGATGTGTATGTATATGATACCAGGAAAGACCGAAATTAGAGAATGTCGACACATACAAAATACGTTGGTAAAAGATCAAATATTTGGTTATATTATTATACATTCGAACAATTACTGGTGTATGTTGACAAGCACAGATAAGCTTTGGTGAAGGTCAAAACGACACCTGAGAAGCCGATGTTGACAGAAAGGCGACAGTCTGTCGCTAAATCCTTTGTTCTGCCACAATTGAAATCACGTGGTATCTATTTGTTATACTCTAGAACACAGCTATTTGTCAGTCTTATGCAAGGTTTACTGGTGCATGCAACATTTTCTTAAATTTTATTTTTTTATCCGCTATCCTAATTTATATTAAATGGTACCGCGGTGAAATAAGAACGTTTTTTTTTTTTTTTGAAAAGTTACATGCATTAATTGCAATTAAACGAGAAGACAACTGTTTTTATTTTTCTCAAGAAAATAATCTAAAATACTTTCTGAAGCGATTTCTGCTAAAACTAAGTGCAGCACACCTTTGGATTACAGATGATTAAAACCTTTTGACATTTTAAAAATTAATGATGAAGAGAAATTAATTATACCATTAAAACCAGGAGAAACGAATATACAGTATTATGTTACCAATGATAAATTGTTCAGTATACTATCTGAAACTCATAGCAGAACAGACCATGGAGGAAGAGCACATATGCTTAAAGAATTGCAACTTAAATACAAAAATATTACATATGAAGTTGTAATGTTGTATTTAAATTTACGTAAACAATGTCAAATGAAACATGATACACCTAAAAAAGGTATTGTTGTGACACTAATGGTCAGGTCGGAGTTAAACTCAAGATATAAAGTCGATCTGATAGACCTGTAGTCACATGATGGCGAATATAAGTTCATAATGGTGTATCAAGATCATTTAACGAAATCTGTCCAGCTACTACCTTTGAAAACTAAGACAGCTGAAGAAGTAACAAATCATCAAATATTTTTAACATTTGGTGCCCCAGCTATATTGCATTCAAATAATGGTAGGGAATTCTGTAATCAAGTCATATCCAAACTATGACCTATGTGGAAAGATGTTAATAAATGGTCAGATGGTTTGCCCTTTGTACAATTTGCCAAGAACACAACATATCACGAAGGAATTATGAAGCCATGTTTGGCATTAAACCAAACAGGCATAGCATCGTCATCTTTTCCTGGTGAACAAATCGCAAATATTGAAACCGAAGAACAGCTTGAAAAAATTGTTAATAATTTTGAAGGATATTTGAGCAGTGGCCACAACAAATACCATATTCCAAAGGAAAATATTGAAGAGGAGCTGCAACCCACCATGTCTTCATGTCAAGCCCTGACTGAACAACATGAGTTTATTTCTATAGAAAGAGCAACCATGAAAGAGAATCTTCTACTGCAAGCAACGAAAATGTTACAAACCTCAAAAAGAAAATCTCCTCCTGCTCAAATTGGTGATACCGTACAAATACAAGTCCCTGATGTTGACTGTGACTGTACAGATGCCCAAAACGTGGTTGATGGTTGTTGTTGGAATAGAAGACTCTGACTTTTATAAATTAGCAAACAAAAAAATACCCTCAAGCAGCTTTATACCCACAATTCCTTCAGGCCAAATTTACTGTACTGGATTCTTAAATCGAATCTCGATTTAAGAATCCAGTACAGTAAATTTGGCCTGAAGAAGAGCCCAGGAGGGGCATCGAAAGCCAATCTTTGTTTGGAGTTTTCACGCCGGTTATAGGTTAAGTAGTAAGCATATTTGTTCTCAAGAAATATTGGTGACAGAAGCAGCTGCAGATAATTCAAAAAGTGGACAGCAAGGCTATACATGCTATCATTGCAAAAAGAAGTGTTCCACGAATAAATGCAGTTGTATAAGCAAGGAACTCTTGTGAAATTCAAAGTGTCATAACAGTTTAAGTTGTTGCAATAAATAAGACTGTATAACAATCACCTAATATATGTGTAAGTTTACTATTGTGTATTATTTTTATTTTCTGATTAAGAATGTACTGTTCATTTTAGGTTCAACAGTTTATTTACATGTGCTGTTACTTAAGCTTCTCCTATTTTGACATATTAAAAAGTTGCATTTTTGTCTTAACGTAATAAAAATATTTTTATTCAACATTCACCATCAGTAAATGCATGCTGAATGTTGACATTTGCCAGAGAATCTCAACATTTGCTAGATATCAGTCTTTCACAGTAACATATATATGTATAGATCTATATATTATGTTGTTTTCACTCCTTTTTGTTTTGCTGTGTCGGGTTTTCTTGTTGTTACATGTGGCCATCCCTTGTTTCGCACCACCTTTTCCTAGGTTGGTGACAGGAGATTGGCAATTGGCTAGTTGGCTGGGGATGGGGGCTCGGCCCCTGGAATTATAAATAGTGAGAGGAAGGTGGAAGTTTCTTTATCTGGTCCTCGGATTTTGGTTAGCAGAGAAGTGTAAGTGACAAGCGATAAGAGAAAGTGTAAAGAAAAATTATCTAGTATCGAGGCAAATGGGATGACTGAAGGAGTGAACTCAATCCATCTCCATCCAGTTGTGAATACTGAATTTACAAAAAAAAGGACTACAATAAGAGATAAAGGACCATCAGGAGGATCATTTAGAGACATTATTTTGACAGACAATTATTTTATCGTGTCAGTAACCTCATAGCAGTTTCATGAAGATTTCCCATGAGTAATGAAGGGTCATATTAACCCCTTCTAGTTGATATTTGTAGTTTAATTGTATGTGCAGAAATCAGTGTCACGGTGAAAAGAGAGTGAAGTATTAATTAATGCAGTAAAAAAAAAGGGATATATGTATATTTTAAGTTCTTTGTACGCATAGACACCTTATGTACAAGATTGTGTCTGGTGCATCCCATGTGGATTGAATTCAGTAGTTTCATTAGAAACCACTGAATTCAATCCACATGAGAATGCACCTTTTCTTTTTGTTGTATGCCAATTTGTCATTATTTGTCTAGACCAGTAGACTCAGGTCTATTTCTGAGGTCCGCAACAGTAGTTTTTTTATATTAGGGCATGTCATATTTATTGATCACTAATGAATAAAAAAGTATGAAGTGAGTTGTATTTATAAAAGTGTTACAGGCTGTCCATGTAGTCTCTGGCCATATGTAGTACCCATTGCCAAATATCCAGCAGGTACCATACTCTGTCAGTAGTGTCTTTTCTGCAGATGGAACACATGAACTGCTCTAATGCAGCTACAATGGCATGTGCTAATGGTAATTGTCAAACCTCATAAAAGCTCCTTTAGAAGTCAAAATCATAGGGAGACATATTGGGTGAACAGAGCAGATGATCAAGAATCTCCTGAGTTCATTTCTGCAACATTGTTGTTACCACACCAGCAATATGGCAATGAGCTTTGTCATGTAACAAAATTGGGTGTTCTTGTACAAGTGAAGATTATAAGTGATGTTTGAGGAATTTCATATAAAAAGTTAGTTCTTATTGACAGATGCCATCCTAACTACAATGGAACAGGTGATGCATTCTATCCACAAAAATGGCTCTGCTTATCTGGAACAGATAACTCATGGACTTGCTCGCCTAATCTCCTAGAGAAGTAGGCTGATGTGTTGAAATTTTGGATGGTCAAGACTGTTAAGATTAACAATAAACATTTGAATTTAACGAATGGAAAGAGAAGAAATAGACTGTTAAGATGTTAATCTTAAGTCTATTTCTTCTCTTTCCATTCATTAAAATGTTTACAATTGAATATTCTAATTAATATAAATGATTTTGGTAATGGCAAATGAATGTGCAAAGATGGCAATAATATAATAATATAAATGATTTTGGTAATGGCAAATTTTTGAATGTGCAAAGATGCAAATTATAATTAAGATTTATAATTTATACTTGTGCTTGAAAGTTAAGCAATAAATATAAAAATACAAAATAAACATTTTCTTAATGAACTTTTATAGAATTTACAGGCTAAATGCATTATAACATATTGCTATAATATATTAAAAAAAGAAAGAATTCTTTGAAAATTAACTTGATATACAAATTATGCAATATCTAAAAATACTAGATAAAAGTTTGTTGATAAGCCATCTTCCATATGCCATATAATCATCTTACAAGGAGACCTTACAATTTTAAAAAAAAACTAGCTTTTTTTAAAATTGTTTTAAAAATTATAACAAATTTTAAATAAACTTAATGACCTAAAAATATTATCAATTAAATCATAAATAATTTTATTTTATTTATGAAATGGCTGTTACAGCTAATTAAAATGTGAATTAACAATATAAAGATAATATTTTAATTTTAAAAAGTTGAATAATTTGAAATGCATTTTTAATGGAGGTAAATTAAAACTTTAATTACTATTGTCATTAAAATGTTATTACAAATTTTAAGATTTAAAAGCTGTGGAGAGATTAAAAATATTTGTTGTAAATTTGAGGAACCAGTTTCTACGTGGAAGAGTAGAGTATAGCTGTTAATTATTATTTATGATTAAATTGATATTTTTAGGTCATTAACTTTATTTAAAAGTTGTTATAATTTTTAAAACAATTTTATAAAAAAGCTAGCTGAAGGTAGGATCGAATCTAGATCGCCCGCGTGGCAAGCAAGTTCGCTACAGACTCATCCATTTTACAGTGTTGTCATAGTAAAATCGACCAGTGTATGAGCTGCGCTTAAAACTTTAGAGGGCTTTTTCTCAGAATCTTCTGGTTAGTGTGCTTTACAATTC